CAACTATGCTTGGAACTTAATGACTTGTGAGGATCGATACCATCAGCAGACAAGGCTAATCTAAGATTTCGTTTTTCTTGTCCGAATTCTTTCCACGTGTTATCAACAAGCTTCCAAGAAGGGGTATCGCGAGGATGAGTAAGCTTCCCATTATTGACCCGACCTTGTGCATGCCAACTTAAGTCATGTGCAATGTGCGGTATTGAAAACATTCTTCTAAATCTAGGGATGATAGGAAAATACCACAAAACTATTGAAGGTACGTTTTTGGTATTCTTCTTCCAATGAGATGTGCTACAAGTTGGACATTGAGAAGCATCCTTATGTTCTTTCCAGAATAGAACACAATCATTTTCACATGCATGAATCTTCTCATATTGTAGACCTACTCCGTTTAGAGACTTCTTGGATTCATATATCGAGCTAGGGATGGTATTGTTTGATGGTAAGATATCTTTTAGGACACACAAGAAAGCATCAAAACTAGCATCAGACCATCCAAACTGACCCTTCAAATGTTGGAATTTCAATAATCCACTAAGTGCATTATATTTTGACCCTAGATAAAGTGTCTTATCACATTCTTCAAGAAGTGATTTCAATGAATCAGGTTCTTTGTCTACATATTTGAAGGCATCATGTAGCATATCCTTTGTATAAATAGCATTTGGAGGAATGGAATTGTTAGGGAATCTAGAATCAATCTTGGGATGTTTTTCGCCATGGAAAGACCAAATCTTATAATTTTCATCAAATTCGTGGGAAAACAAATGATAACGGACATTGTCGATTGAGCGGTGACACAAATTGATACAATTTACACAAGGGCATGACATAACATCTAACTTTGGATTATTACTTCATGCAAACTCTAGAAAAGCATTTACACCTTCATCATATGCATTTGATAATCTACTAGATGAAATCCATTATTTATCCATTAAACACTTGTTCACAACCTACATTATTATTTACCATTTAAAACAACAATGATTACGCATGTATAGGGACAAAAACCGTGCAAAAACAAAACTATACAGGGACAAAAAAACTGTACAAGGGCCAAAACTAATGCATGAACCAAAACTGTACAGTGGACGAAAACTGTGCAAAAACAAAACTGTATGTGGACAAAAAAAATTGTACATGGGCCAAAACTAATGTAGGGACCAAAATTGTACAGGGACAAAACTGATGTATGGACCAAAACTATGCAAAAGCAAAACTGTACAGGGGCCAATGATAACCCCTTTTTTCCTTTCAAGAATACCCTTTTTACGGTTTTACCCTTGAAATGTGTGAAGAGGGTTGCCACAAAATGGTTTCTTTTCTTCACTTTCTCTTCCATACTTTCTTATATATTTAGGGTTGAGATCTAGTGATAACCCCTATTTCTGTTCTAATCTGAATATATTTAATAAATCTTTCAGGGAACAGCCATCAGAGACAGCCATCAGAGACATAATACAAGAACAGTTAAAGGAAAATGGAAACGGGAGGGGACTCACGTATATAATGTGTTTGTGTGAAAATGAAGAGGAAGAAGATGAATATTAATATTATTATCATTATAGCACCGATGAATAAGTGTTATCCAGTGGATCAGAATGAGTCAACATCTGTGTGGTGTGGAGATTATGGAATGTGTTTGTGTGATATAATTGGCGTGTTTTAGTCTGTGCACCATAAATTTGCAATTTGGCTTTTCAGTTGGTTTGATAAATGTACCAAATTTAAGGGTTTGTGGTATTTTCCTATTATCATAATATTATTCTCTTTAAGCCTTTGGAATTGTGGTATTTATTTAAGGGTTCATAATAAAGTGTGGTTTGAAAGTTTGATATAACTCATAATACCCTTTTCTTTTATGACACTTTTTCAAATATCTTTGATGTTGAGTGGTTTATATCACATCTATCAAGAGATGTGAAAGTGATACAAGAACTTCCAAAGAAGGGAGGCAAGATTTGGACTCCATATAATATGCATGTTGTTAGATGTCGTTTTATGCATCTTTTAGGGTAGTTTTCATTATCATTTTAGCATCATATTTTGTACATTTTCATGGCATTTATTTAAATAATGTTCAGCTCATGTATTTCGTTAGAACTCCTGTACTGTTCATGTTTTTATGTCAATTTCAGATAGTTCGAGTGGAGCAGTGCTTTGGGAGCAGTTGCATGCATGTTTGGAGCTTAAAATGGAGCTTGGGACTTATGGAGTATGTTGAGGAATGATTGGAAGATTCTTTGGTCAAGAAACATTCGATTGAATTGATCACACGAAGAAATAATCTACAATCTAAAGTTAAAGGATGTTGCTGTCAGCTTTAACCATATATCGAGAACAGTAACTCTGATTGATGCGATTCAAAATGATCCGGAAAGTAGACAAAATTTCGGACGTCATAGGCATAACATGTGATCGCAAGTTGCCTTCATGCGATCGCATGGGGCCCTTTTTCGATCGCAGGTTTGGTCGCAGGTTGCCTTCGAGGTTCTTTTGTGGCCAAAATTCATCCGGAGTGAAAACTCAATACCTGCGATCACAGATTGTGTACATTCGATCGCAGGTTGGCCAAAAAGTGTCAAAATAGCATCCTACTTCATTAAAAAGGCACCAGACGTGTTTACTTCAAAACCTGCAATCGCAGGTTGTGCACATGCGATCGCATGTGCGCCATTTTTGTTGCTGGATGTATAAAAAGAGCCTGATAGCATCCCTGTAACCTAAGTTGGCGATTACAGAGGTTCCAAACGACGAAAATACGATTTTGGAGGCGTTTCTTCTTTAATTTCATCAAATTCTGAAGATATGAAGACTGTGGATCATCTCCTTCAAGTAGATTAGTAAGATTAGTAGTTTGATGTCTCTTTTCATTTGTTTTTATAAGATTTTATCCATGTCTTGCTAAAACCCTAGTTTTCAGTTCTGCACAAGACAAGTACTTTTCATGTGATTGATCATTAGATCTGGTTTTTGATTTGTGTTTCTATCTAGATTCTTCAGTTTTGTTCTTAGTGAATGTTTGATTTTGAATTCTTGTTAGTCTGATCACCTAGCTAGGGTTTTATCATTCCAGTTAATCAATTAATAGAATCCATAATTGTTCTAATTAATTGGTAATAAGTAACAAGTAATAAATCGGTTCCGTGTTTGGGATTTGACTTTATTATAAACTGTAAAAATCATATCTTTACGCTTCCGATCTTGTGAGAAGTATTGGATATTGCTGGGAATTTTACAAAGAACTTAATGCAACTTTTCTAATCATAATTAAGAGCTTGTTTGATTAGACAGTAAAAAGTTAGGGTTAATTGAAGAGATTGTTTTGGTTAACTAAATAAGGTAAAAGAGAAATTACTAGAGCTTGTTAGTTTTTCTCAGTACTAGCTTTAGATAGAACGCATCTCAAATAACCAGGTCAATGTTGATTGCATGATTAGGAAAGTCGCAGCAGAACTGAAATCGTTTTTTTTATATTGATTTTCATTTAGTTTAATATCACTGCGTTTTTAGTGTTTAGTTTAATTGAAATCCCCCTTTTATATTTTCTGTTTCTTGACTAGATTGTGTCTGATGCAAAAAGGTATTGACCATTAGGCTGTGTCCCTGAGGATTCGACCCTGCTTCCCTGTGCTATATTTTTAGTGCAACCAGCAGTGATAATTTATTTGCTTAATACGCGCACGACAGCGTGTTAACACATGTTTCAAGAAAGTGTAATGAGAGATGCTATCAGATTCGTGTACTCCCTGTGCTTTTGAAGAAACATGTAAGTTATATCAGCTCCAATTCTGCATTGTGTATCAGATAAGCATATAGTGTCTTGCATTAGTTCTGATGACAATGTAACTTCTCTTTTGGGGTTGTTTGATACTTTATGGTTAATATCTCAAGTTTGACAATTGGCACTCCATTTGTGGTGACCCCTAAATGTTACCCACATGATGCCTTAACTGCATTATATTTTTATCTGATTGTTACTAGGTTTATATTTCAGAATGATATTCATTGACACTTTTTGTTATGAAAATTTTGTAGCATATGTATGTTTTTGTAAGACCGCATTCACCACTGGGTATACAAAAAATGAATACTTGAACAAACAGATTGTTTATGGACAACCCGAAAACCTTGAAATATTTTTTATTTTCAATATTAATATGTGAGAATTGGGAAATATGCTATTCATATTTGCTATGATGCCATCATTAGTGTTCTTCACTACTTTATGTGAAAAAGACGTGAATGCCCTCAGTTAGTGAAAATAGCTCTAGAAAGCTTGGCGCTCGCTGTTCATGATTTTTATAGTTTTATATTTTTAATTTTAAATAAATCTATGATTCCTTTTCTTGTACAGGCTGTTCAGCTGAGCAAATATGATTACAAACTTTCTAACAAGTTGGAGACTGATTTGCAAAAGCTTAGACGTAGAGTAAATTATCATGCTTTGAGGTTCACTAATCCTATAAATAAAATGGGTCAAAAGTTGGTAAACCAAATGAGGAAGATGGGTAAACACTATGTTGCTTTACACCTGAGGTATGCACTTGATGCTTCTTGTATTGATCTTCACTAAAGAAAATAGTGTGGTGTCATTATGATTTATGATTTTCATTTCAAAAATAGGTATCATTATAATATTATTCTCTTTAAGCCTTTGGAGTTGTGGTATTTTATTAAAAATGGTGAAATGATATTGCAGTGTGCTCATGGTAGGCCAACAATTGTGGCACTTATGGACATGGTGGTGCTGCATAAACAGATTGGAACAGTGGTCCAAGAGTCGAAGGAGAGAATGGGAAAGTAGGAGCAGGAGCCTATTTTATGATGATAATTGATGTAGATCATAATATGGTAATTAAAAAGGTAAATGAACCAAAGCTGCTACAGGCATAATCTAGAAGAAGTAAAAGGGTAAATCAGGAATATGGCTAAAATCTATTAGAGAGAAAGGGGAGGGGGGGGGGTCTTGTTGTATATATTTATTAATAACAATGGTCATCTTGACAAGATTGGTAGCCAACAAGGTTGTGGTTATATTCAGCAAGAGCTCTTGCTTTATATGCAACATCAGGACACTGATATGCAACTTTGGGGCATACCCAACTGTTTATGTGCTTGATGAACACCCAGATGGTCAAATAATCGAGAGGGAACTCAAAGCCTTAGGGTGTAAGCCATGTATCACAACTATTTTTATAGGACATGAGCTGATGGGTGGAGCCAATGAGATTATGAGCATGCATCTCAAAGGCCATTTGGTCCCTATGCTCCTCAAAGAGGGAGCTATATGGCTCTAATACCATAAACATAGCATTTTGTTAAGTTCTATCAAACTTGAGAACAATCATGAATCGGAGAATTGAATAAGTAGAGTAACTCATTTGTTGGAGTTCATAGTTGTCTATTTTGACCATGATTTTCGTGTTAGTTGTAATGATCAATTGATCTTTTATAGGACATTTTGGATAACTGACCCTGGCTATTGGTGGATTTTTTTTTGTAACACCAGAAGATCAAATTGTACATCATTTCTTGCCATGTGGACAAGAATTGCACCTATTTTAAACTCAATTTTTTAATTAAAAAGTCCTCAAATTGAGTATATGGTCTATGACTGTCATTGTTACTTCATCATGTGCTATTTTGTTGTTCTTGGGTCCTAATGGATTGATTCTTGATCTCTTACTTAATGACGCTTCTCTTTTATGAGCTTTTATAAAAAAAACAATTCCTAATTAAGCAAGACTTAATCACAACTTCTTTTTATCTATGGACATTCTAGGCTAAGACAGATAGAGAAGCAGGAGGAAACAAGGGCATCTCTGATGGACATGTAGGTAAGGTAGAAATGATGAAGAAAAAGCAAACCAAATGTTCGCAAGATGAAAGAAGGGGATAAATATATTACATACAACTTGAGAAGCTTTAGTAGGTGAGAAACTCTTGAATGTGTTCAATTTACCATCAGATTCATGGCTATCAGGCGCTTCTTCCCCTCGTGTTGACTTTCTTCTGCTATTTCTCCTTCGTTACTTGGTTTTATGGCCAACCGGGGAAGTTCAATTTGCCTGAATCGTTTCAAACAGGAACACCTTAATCGGACCTAGGGCACGTAAATTTGAGCAATCTCCAACGATGTCAGGTGAGCCCAAGGTCTTCGGCAAGGCGAAATCAGTCGGAGGAGAAGTAACCTAACATCGTCGGATGAGACGTTGTCTGCAAGGCGAGGCGAGGTCGCATAGTAGATCGATTGTAGAGAGTGTAGTGACTGAGTGTTTTGATTTTTGTTTGAAAAGCCTTAGGATATTTTAGTAGTACCTCTATTTTTGTAACAAGAGATGCATGCCTTTCATTAAAATTATAAGGCGACGATTATTGAGGACGCACATTTAAGATAAAGTGCCCTCTGTGGTTTTAATTTTTTTTACTTGAGACACTAATTTAAGGGCATGAAATAATGAATGACCTAAATCCTTAAATTTTTTGTAGAGATGACACTATTTTAATGTAACTCTCTTTTGCGTAACATAAATAGATGAGTGTCGTGGTTTGCGCGTTGTAAAAGGGCTTTTTGTAGTAGTGTTACTATTTTTCGCTCTTCAAGGTGCCTTCCGCCATGATTAAAGTCCTTGAGAACTTATGGGCTCATTTATTTTGGGGAGCAATTGATAACGATAGGAAAGTAGCTTTGGTAAAGTGGTAAAAGATTCTTAATTCTAAGGAAAAAGGCGGGCTTGGAATTGGAAGCTTGAAGGCGTTTAATTATGCTATGTTACTTAAGCGGAGATGGAGACTACATAATGACTCATATTTGATTTGGGCAAAAGTTATTACAGGTATTCATGGATTAATTGATAGCCTTGACGATTTGAAGAAAAAACCAAATGGATTGAGTGTTTGGATTTCTATAAAAAAGTTGTTTCCGTATTTGCATGAAAGAAATATTGTTTCTTTTTTATGTCTTAGGAGGTGTATTGGTAATGGTAAAGGTACTCGTTTCCATAATGGTGAATATACCCGTTTCTAGGATGAAAACTGGTTGGGTGATGGTATTCTTATGGATAGATTTCCTCGTCTTTTTGCCATGGAATCAAATAAGGAGTGCTTGGTTAGTGACAAACTTGTTAATGGGCAATGGATGTGGAACTGGAATAGACCGGTACGTGAGGGGGGTATTACGGCAACCCATTTTTTGGTTCTTTAGTCTTGCCTTTTGCAGGTGATTCTCTCGGACCGGTTAGATAAATGGGAGTGGACCTTATGCCAGGATGGCGTTTTTGTGGTTAACGCCACTAGACGACACATTGAGGGTATTTTGTTGCAGGAGGGTGGAGGTGCTACTCGTTGGTGCCGTTTCGTCCCTATAAAAGTTAATATTATGATTTGGTGTGTGTTGTTGGATAGAATCCCTACTTGGGTAAACTTAGTGGAGAGAAATGTAGATATTTCTTCATTGTTATGCCCTTTTTGTGACTCTCAAGTGGAGGATTCCAATCATGTGTTTGTGCATTGTGAAGAGGCGAATGAAGTTTGGAGGAGAGTGATTAAGTGGATTGACCTTCCTTTTACTTTGTTCAATAGTGTTGCATATTTATTTTTGTGGGTAGATTCCTATAGTCCCCCTATGCGAAGAAAAAGGTGAATGAGGTCATTATGCTTACGTCGATTCGGATGATATGGATGTTTAGAAACAACGTTGTGTTTCAAAACACCAAGATGAAAATGAGCTCAATTTTTGATAATATTGTTTTACATTTTTATGATTTGTTTTCTAATAGAAGTAGTCATAGTAATATAACTTGGACTTTGTGGTTACAAAACCTAATGCTTCAAAACTGATTGTAATTGTTTTTCCTAGCTCCTTGCTAGTTGGTTTTCGTAATTTATCCAGTCGTTAAACAAATGGAAAAAGATTTATTAAAGTTTACCTCCTTATGCCGCTTCTAGATCCACGATGGAGCATATTTCGCAACTATATTTGTCTTATTATCCTGCAAAACAGATTATATTGCAAAATTTTAGTCATATTCCTATCATATTCTTTATTTTAAACCTAAGAACAATAATAACACTATTATATTGCAGACAAAGCATTCCATTTTTCCTACAAACTACAAACATGAACTAAATAGAAAAAAAGGAACAAAAAAAGAAATGGGAAAGAAATTACAGATGCCTTCAATGCCTTTTTAGCAATTTCTTCAAATCCAAACGAAACCAACATAACAACTTTTGATGGATCAACATCATTGTTCCCTACCTCTTTATTGTGACAACTCGAAAATTTTTACTTTAAAAGCCAATCAAAGTTAGACTCTTTTGCTATCTTTTAGCATAGATTTGGGTCTATTTAAGTGTTCTAAACCTAGTACAATCAAGGAAGGAGCCTAGAAATGCGTTAACTCAAGTCGTGGGAAGCAAATTCGGGCCAAACACTCCATCATGTGGAGTGTGCGGCCGCACACATGAGTGTGCATCCACACACACATGAGTGTGTGGCCGCACACCCATTCCAGCCACACACTCCCTCATATATATTCAACACTTAGCTTTTGAATCAGTTTTTCCACTCCTACAAGTCAAGAACTCGTTTTCTCTCAAGTATCATACCACTTTTCACTTCAATCTTCAATCAAGTAAGTGATTCATCTTTTGATTAGCTAATACATGACCTTAACTAGCAAAACCCTGTGATTTGATCCATGAAAAGATCCATTTTGAGTCAAGAACACCAAGAGCACTAAGAACACCAAGAACATACACTAGTTTTGGACCTTAATCACCCTTTCAAGCCTCTATAACGTTTGTACACTTATCATAACTTGTTATATGCTAAGAACACTTGACGATATGCATGAAAAACACGATTTTGCCATCCTCATAAAGGGTGTGCGGCCGCACACACCCTAGTGTCCGCACACACCCTTTTTAAGGCCTAAAATAGAATCAAACTTCCATTCCGGCTTAGTAAGGGTCAAAACACCTTCCCTAGAACATTCCTAAGGCTTTGAAACACGTTTTTGGCACACTTCATAGTGAGTGTGCGGCCGCACACACCCCTGGCCGCACACTCTGGCCGCACACACATAAAACCCATGATTTGGTGACCATACACTCCCTTGTATAGCCATACACCACTTATGTGCAACCATAGGAGTTAGTAACACTTAATTCTAAGTGTTTCCCTATCCCTAAGGTGTGTCCCTATCACAATTAGTTGTTATATACCCTAAATATATTCATATATGTGTGATTATATGTCGTTTAGGATTCGTTTGAGTCTCGGAACTTCATCCGTGGAACTTCTCATCCTTACTAAGAGCATTTGAGTCACCAATCATAAGGTGAGTTCATACCCCTACATTTTATCACTTTTCACTGTTTTAAGGGGGTAATACAAGTCTAAACACAAGAAATTGTGTTTATTATAAATAAAACTCTTTAAATGTTGTAAATGACATC